CATAGCTAAGTCAAACCAGCAGATGGCCAAGTGTTTACCAATAAAGAAGTCAGAAGGGAAATCACCTAGAGACGGATGGGTGCTAACCAATGAGCTTTAGGGTCACTTAAGTTAGCCAATAAACACTGCTTATGGCTTTGTCTCCTGGCTGCCAAAAAAGTTGCCCCTGAAAAATGTATAAAAAGACAGCTAAAAAGCCTAACAGGGTCTCACCCCAGCTTGGCGGTGAGAACCCAACGCGTTGGAAATAATAAACCGCTTGCTAATTGCAGTGCTCGTGGTCTTGTGGTCTCTTCGAGGCGAGTATTCCCGTTCTATGTGAGATTGGGATTCATCCCAAATCTTACAACGGGCCCCTGGTGCTGAAGCCCTGCATTGGCTGGACTCCCCACCTGGTCAAAGACAGGTCTGCACCTCACAGGCTTCTCCACACGGTGGCTGGCACTGAAAGCTTCTGGGAGAAGGAGCAGAAGAGAAGCTTGCTCCCTGAAGACAGATTCCAAAGAGAGGGCAGGATGAGTGTGCATGCACCATGCTGTTCCTTTCCCAGCCCGCCACTCGGGTGGCTCACACCACCTTTGATAGGGCGGGAGGCCATGAATGCTAGGGAAATATTTCTCCTAGAAGAAACCAGAAGAGAGGGAGACAACTGCTCCTGACCTCCCAGCACAAACAGCCAGCAGTTTTTGAGAGGTCTCAGTGTGCTGGGCATATTCTGAGCTCTTTATGGCTCCTGAGGCTACGGGACTCGTCCAAGGACACACGGATGTGGCAGAGCTGGGTTATAGAGCTGAGCAGTCTGACTGCAGGGTGGGCTCTCCTAACCCCTGGTTAGATGTCTGCAGAAGGTTCAGGGACAGCACTAAGGAGAAAGTGGATTGTTGGGAGATGGGGTGGAGAAGCTTCCCAAGAGAGTAGCACACGAGCTATGTGTCCAAAGCTAGTGAGGAGTTCTCCCCAAATAAAAACAAAACAAAACATTAAAAATAAATAAATTAATAAAAAATAGTGGGTGTTGGGGGAATGGCCTTCCAAGCAGGTGAAGCATCACCATGGAGACGTGTTGGCGGGCAGCAGTGCATGCCTACGGGGTAAGCGATGATGGTTACTGCTGATGGGAGGGCAGGTGACAAATGCCCCTGGGACCCTGGGACTTTATCAAGGGGACATGCACATTTCCTAGCATGCTACTGGTTACATGCAAGCTGCAGTCCAGCTCAATGCTTTCTTCATCTCCCTTAGCCTTTGGTAAATGGGTAAGAGGTGAAAATATGGAATTTCTTTTCCTGGCAAGTTATTCTGAAAGGAAATCCAGGTCAAACAGCCAAGGTTTTGCTAAGTTAACCATCAACCCCGCCTTTCTATTCTAAGCACGTTGGGCACTGATAGCTTGCTGGATTCTGACTTTGGCTTGGCAGGGACACAACTCAACATAACTATCCTCCAGGGCAGAAGTTTAATATACAAGGAACTAATTGTTCCCTTTCCCCTCCCCTCATCCTAGCTTCCATTACGTAGTGAACTAATCAATTCACTTCATCTTTTGTAAACAACATGTCTTTCCTACTTACTGGAAACTGGCTGTAATTCAATCTAAAGCAAAAATATTTACAGAACACTGACTATGTACTGGGAGTTGTATTTGGCACTGTGAATGTGGAGATTAGCTCATTCAATGATTCCTTCAGTTAATGAATATTTATTGAATGCTAACTGTTTACCAAGCACTGTGCTAGGTGTTAAGGGCACAGTAGCAAAAATAAACGTGACTCTTGACCTCAGGGAGCTAAGAGTGTAGTAGAGAAAAGTGTACGTGATCAAATATACAAACACATGTAAGATTATACAGAACGATGTACGGTGGAGGAAAGTTCGCCGGTGCTATGAGGGTGCACAGCAGGCGCCAGACTGAGTCTGGAGGGTCAGGGCAGCCTTCTCGGGATGCAGAAGGATGGAGCAGAGGTGACACGTGCAGGATGGGGAACGGCTGTTCTAGGCACAGAAGGAAACCTAATGTGTCCGGAGCTCAGTGGGTGGTGGGAGGTGGGGCGGGAGCGCAGGGCCCTTGCAGCCCTGGGGAGGGATGTGCGCTTTCCATTGAGGGCGGTGGAGGGGGCGCTAGACAGATGCAAGTGGAGGATGAACAGATCATTCTGCCTGCCACAGATCCCACGCTGGGAGAGTCAGGCAAGGATGTTGGGAGCCACTGTGGTGCCCCAGGTGACGGAGATGGTGGATTCGACTAGGGGGGTGGCCACAGGGGTGGACCGCCATGAGAGATGGTGAAGAGGCAAAATGGACCTAACCTTGAGTTCAAGGTGGCTTTGAAGCCTCCAAGAGAAGGCGTGCAGTAGGCATCGGTGCACACAGCCTAGAGGCCAGAGATGCCTAGGAGGGTCATTGGCAGTGAGCTGGTGGTTGAAGCCTTTGGAGCCAGGAGAAGAGGAAGGTTGCAGGATGGAGGCTTGACACACGGAACTATTTAGTGTCTGGAAAGACAGGCTGAGTGTGCAAAGGGAGCTGAAGTGTGCAGGGGGATTGAGAGGGGCACTGCCTCGGAAGCCAAGCCGGTTTTGCAGAACGGAGAGAGTGGTCAAGTGAAGGGGACAGGAAGATGCTCGTGGGATTGAGTGGCACGGCCACCTACTGCTGACCTGTTTTGATGTGGGGGTGGGGGTAGAAGCCAGACGGGAGCACAGTGGAGGGTGGTAGCGAGGACGGAGAGCCGTGTCCAGAAATGCGGTATGAAGGGAAGCAGGAGGCAGAGCAGTGGCAGGGGGCGGGGTGGGGTCACTGTGCGTACCCTCTGGTAGCTCACAGCGCCGGGGCTCAGACACATGGATGAGCAGGAGTGGACCACGACGTGGTAACGCCAGTTCAGAGGTGCCGCGAGGGAGGCAGGGTTTACCTGTGGGACACTCGGGTGGGTGAGTGTGGTCTGAGTGTGCGAGTGCCAGGGGGACCCGAGGGGGCCAGAAGTGAGGAAAGGTCTTCCTGGAAATGGAAACAGCATGTACAAGAATCAGGTAATCCAAGCGTCCAAGGTTTTCTGTCATCCTTTTCCCTGGTCCTCTCTACCCGAATGTGTGTGTGTTGGGGATAAATGGAACGTGCTGATGAGGAGCTAGTGGGTCCATGCAGTGGTGGCATGCTGCTGTGGCAAGCAGAATGAAACTGAACCCAGAAACCATGGGAAGAAGGGAGAGATACGCGGGTGAGGAAGCTTAAGAAGCAGTGAGAGGTTTGGCACATCTGATGTGTTTCCTTTTTCCTTTTTCTTTTGCAGTCAACTTTGACCATTTTCAGATTCTGCGGGCCATTGGTAAAGGGAGTTTTGGAAAGGTAAGAATGGTGAATTTTTAAAAATTTCATCAACAAAATCCAGACCACTGGACTTAAATATATATGTATATTTGTGTGTCTTTGTGTCTTTTGCTGGGCACTGGGAGTTTTCTGTTTGACAAAGACTTCAATTTGACAAATTTGAAATGTGAAAGGCAGTCTGAGTAGTTTCCTTTGGATCTGGTGTAATTTTATTTCGAAAATTAAGTTGCCAAGGCAGCCCTGGTTTAGGTGAAATACAATGGTAATTGTTTCAAGATTGCTAATGCCCTTTCTTCCTTGAGAATCTAAATGAGGAAAGTGGGATAAAACCCACAAACTTATCACGAAAGCAGCTCTTTCCAGCAACACAGGCATTTGTTGCTTGGAAAATTTATATTTGTGATCCTTGACTATTTTTGGTCAAAGCCTATAGAAAATGATGAGAAGGCAGGAGTTTTCAGAAAATAAAAAGTTTCCCCCAACCAGGACCCAGTCTGGTCCCACTTACTCAGAAATCTCCTTCGGCAATAGTTGCTTTTAATACCCATCAAATGCCAGATATTCCCCTTATATTTTCACAGAACTATTATTATTTCCATTTTACAGATGGAAAAATTGAGGTGCAAAACTTAGATTTGGTAACTCAAAAAACTGGAGCATTTTGCCCATGGTCACACAAGGCACGAAGCGTCAAAGCTGGGATTTGAACTGAGGGCAAATCCTGTTTGATGCTGCTGTTCCTGCAACCCCTTATCAGACCACTCAAAACGTGGAGAGTTAAACTGAGACATTTGTCCTAAAAGGTCGGTTAGACTCAAACAACGTCCCTCCTTCTCTCCATCCCTCCCCTCCGCTTTCCTTTCCTGCTTTTATTAATCTAACTCATGAATATTGATTGAATGCATATCCTGTGCCAGGCACAGTTTTAGACTCTGTTGATCAGTAGCAACCAAAACAGTTTCTGGTGGGGCTTATATTTAGAAATGAGAGAGATGATGAACAGATACATACGTCTGTTTATGGTACCTTACATAGTGATAAGTGCATCAGAAGTATTGTAAGGAAAGGACGTGGAATTCTGGTGGACAGTGGCCGGGAGAAGTTGCTGTTCACAGAAAGCTGAGCTGTCAGTAGGGTACCACCAACCACATGTGGCTGTTTAAATTTAAATTAATTAACATCAAAGAAAATGATAAAAAGTCAGTTCCCCAGTCACACTAGCCGCATTTCAAGTGCTCAGTAGCTGCATGTGGCCAGTGGCTACTGCACTGGACCTCTCAGATTACAGAGCATTTCCATCATCATGGGCGGCTCTACTGGACAGTGCGCTTGTACAGGGTGGCAGGGACGTCCTCAGTGATAAGATGACGTGTGAGCAGAGACCTGAAGGAAATGAAGGAGGAAGCCATACAGGTTCCTGGCAGAGGGAAAGGGCAAATGCAGAGACCATGCACAGACGTCAGACTTGTCAGTCCCACAACTGTGTGAACCAGTCCGTTAAAATAAATCTCCATCCATCTATCTATCCATCTTTCTCCCCGCCTATCCCTCCACGTCCTATTGCTTTTGTTTCTCTGGAGAACCTGGAAATAGCTAATAGCTGGTGCATAGCGAGCATGCATGAGCTCCAGCAGAGGTGGGAAGGAGGGTCTGGGAAGCAGCTACTAGAAAAAGCAGAAAACAGGCCACATGCCCAGGAAACTGTTTCAAATGTGTTTACTCTTGTCTGCTTGGGGCTCTTTAAATCCAAATGACTCTCTGCAAATGATTATTCAGAAATAGTGTTTTAGATACGCCATGTGCCAGCTTGGAAATCCTGGCAACCCCCGCCCCAGGCCTGCTTTCATTCTGGAGCTCACCCAGAACCCCAGCCCCCCGCTCGCTCTGTCTTGCTCACACTTCTCAATGGGTCTGGAGGAGGGAGTGTGGTCAGCCCTCCAGGCCTGGACTGGATGGTGAAGAGTCGCGGATGTTTACCCCTTAGTATTCCCTGTCTCCACCCCGGCCTGAAGGAGGACCTGGACTCTGGGTCCCCTCTTTTCTTTCTTATCTGCATTTCCTAAGTCTAAGGAAGTGGCAGGTGAGGCTGGGACCAATCTCCCAGAATCCCCAGAGTTTTAGGGGCCTCAGTGCCGCCCAGTGGTTCCGGCCAGCCCCCACTGCTGGGCCCAGGTGCTCCCAGAGCTTTCGGATCCCATCTTTTTCTCCAGAAGGCAGTTCTTAGCAAAGCTTCCCCGTACTTCTGTCCCTGGCCTTCCATAGTCCATGCTCGTCTCTTCCTCCAGTAGGGTCCTTCTAAAAACAGCGTCTCTAATGAACAACTTGCCCTCCGGACACCCACTCCAGCCCCACCAGCGAGGGTGCTGTGGTGCCAGTGGATTTTTCCCCTTGAAGCAGGTTCTCCATCTGTACCACCACCTACTTTGCCCATCCTGCTGGATTGGGCTCTACTGTAGAGAGGTTTCCAGAGGCCTGATTGATTCATCGGTGTTTATAAGGAGCGTCTCATCCTTACACAATATCTTTGGGCCAGCGAGGACTTCCCCTGGATTAGTTACCACCACTGGGAATTCAGCCCAGCGAGTGTTTCTGAGCATGTGAGGCAGCACGGTGTAGCACAGAGAAAGCACTTTGAGAAGCGGGCAACCGCGGGTTCAGCTGCTGTCCAAGTACGATCTGGCCCAGCTTTGAGCCTTTGTTTCCTCATCTGTAAAATGGGCATGTTGGTGTCTTCTGTATAAGGCTGAATGAGAAGTAAATGAGATAGTATTTACTGAGATGAGTGCCTACTGCAGAATCCAAGCTGAGAGTCAGTAAATGTAGATTCTTTCCTTGCTTAAAGTATTTTTCCCCCTGGGCAGCAGGAAGTGAGGAAGGGGAACTTTAATTGAATGGGCTTTTTTGAAGTGTGTGGTATGAAGAGTTCCTGCTTGCAGGGGCTTTTGTTTGGACATAAATGTGGCACTGGGAAAGGCAGGGCTGTTGTATACATTTAAGTTCCCAGAACGTCTCACCATGTGTGACATCTGTCACTGTAGATAAATGGCAGGGCAAAGCCTGGCAAGGCTCATGGTCTTACGTGACCCTCATTATTCTTGGAGATCATATAGCTCTGGGCTTGACAGTAGCCTCGACATTGCGTTTTCCCTAACTCCTGTCTTATCTTGTCGTTGGCTGTTTGTGTGGAGTTGATATAAAAATCAGCCAGCTCAGGTTCATTTTTTCATTCTTTCATTCCCTCATTCATTTATCCATTCATTTACCCATCCATCCGTCCATTCACCCATCCACCCAACATATGGAAGACAAATTGGGTCTGGCTCTATTCTAGGCTCTGAGGCTATAAAAATGATATGGTGCCTGCTTTTGAGGATCTCTCAGATACATGCAGGTGGCAGAGAAATAAACAGATAATTACAGCCCAGTCTGAAAAGCACAATGGTGGAAAAAGTCCCAGAAGGTATGAGAGTAAAGGGTGGGGTGGAGGATGCCTAACTCAGACTTCAAAAGCTGTGATGCCCTTGCTGTAGAGGGCAGGGTTGACTGCATGACCATATGATTTTCTCTGTCACTTTAATATGAAAATTGCAAACAGACAATTAAGTTGAAAGAATTTTATAGTAAACACCTATATCCACCACCTACGTTCTACAATTAACATTTTACCAAACTTATTTTATGAAATACCCATCCTACCTCTTAATCAATCCATCTTATGTTTGATGTGTTTCATAATAAATTGCAAATATCTGTACACTTCCTCTTAAGTATTTCAGCATAAAGATTTGTTTGTAGTTTGTCTTCTGATGTAAAAATATGCACACAGTGAAATGCACAAATATTAAGTTGACATTGGCTGAGTTTTGAGAAATGCATGCACCTGGATAAACTGAACCTCTACCAAAATACAGAATATCACTACGATCCAAAAGTCTCCTCTTGACCCTTTCCAGTCAAAACCCATCCCCACCCTGCCCTTTCCACCCACTACAGATCAGATTTTCCTGTTCTAAAATTTAATATGAAATGGAATTATACACTAAGTACTCTTCTGTGTAAAGTTTCATCATGTTTCACATTTTGCATGTTTTTGCAACATAATGTTTTTGAGATTCTTCCATGTGGCTGTGTATCAGTGCTTTTTCCCTTCTTATTGACAAATAGTATTCCATTCTGTTAATATATTACAGCTCGTTAATTCATTTTCATCATGATAAATTTCAGGACTCTTTCTAGTTTTGACTATTTTGCTATGAAAATTTGTTTAAAAGTCTTTTTTTGTGAACATATGATTTCATTTCTCTTGGGTAAATATCCAGGATTTGAATGGCTAAATCAGAGGAGGTTTATATTTAGTTTCATACAAAACTGCCAAAAAAAGGTTTTCCAACATGGTTGTACCGTTTTATTCTCCTACTCAGAGTTCCATTTGTTTCACATTCTTGCCAACATATGGTGCTATATCAATATTCTTAATTTTAGCTATTCTGATGAGTGTTTTGTAGTATCTCAATGTGGTTTTAACTTTCATTTCCCTGATGACTAATGTTGATGAACACTAAGTTCTTCTCTGGTATCATTTCCATTCAGCCTGAAGAATTCTCTTTAGTATTTTATGTGGTGCAGATCTCCTGCTAATTCATTCTCTTTATTTTACCTGAAATGTATTTATTTCACCTTCTTTCTCGAAAAATATTTCTGTTGGATACAGATTTGGGGGTTGACAGGTTTCTTTTTCATTTATTACTTTAAAGATCCTGTACCATTGTCACCCGATCACCATAATTTCTGATGAGAAGTCATCAAACTCTGAATCATTATTATCTGATATGTAATGGGTCACTTTTGTATCCCTCCTTTCAAAATTTTCCCATAATATTTGACTTTTAGAAGTTTAAACATGATAGGCCTGGTTGGAATTTTTTATTTTTAAGAAATAGTTTCTCTTTGTTTAGCTTTCCTATCTTTTCATTTAATTCAACCATATTGCCCTATAAAAATTGTGTATCACAGTCATA